ATTTAGCAGATCTTATAACTCAAGCTAGCACTCATACCATGTTGGAATGAGGAAGGATTCTTGGATAGGATAAGTCTGCTAGAGTAGGTAGCGGAAGTCTGTGTGGTGGGAACCTTGATCATAGTGAATGTAAACGACAAGATTGACTAGAATAAGAACATGACATGCAAAATACAGATCCTAGCTAGCCATGTACTCTGAAGCGTACATTCCTTTATTAACGGTAATACATGTACCGCTATAGTAGCAATGACTAGTGCGCTTCCTTCATTTACCTTGTTGAAACTTGTAACCTCCGATACGGTTGCGACAATTGAAGCAGGTCGTAACCTCCTGATCCAGGTCGGCCAACAGTCGCGACAGTTGACCCGCGACTATTGACCTGCGTGCCCTATATGAGCTAGCGCGGTAGTGGTACAAGTGCTACTTCGATAGTAGCAGGTGCGATAAGACTGCACCTTCTAGAATGCTCAAGATAATTCACGCCTTACTCCAACAGGTGGAGCTGCCAATACGCCTGATCAGGCATGAGCCAAGAAAAGCTTATCAGGTAAGAGTCAAGCCGTTAAGAGCTGAGGCTGAGAAACTGGGAGCAGCTGGAAAGGGAAAGGAGACATAGGGATTGGTACAGGCAGCAATGCGGAGGAGGAGGAAGAACAACAACAACAAGCGCGGCGGCATCCTATGGAACGTCTCACTTTTGCTAAACCTCGCACTGCTAGACTGACCAGAGTCGGCCTACGCTTCAGGACTAGCCCGGACCTCGCAGCCAGCATCGCACTAGCTAGCTCACACGCACCGTATTACCGTTTGTTGTTCTCGCTATAAATATTTGCTCATGGATTAGCTCATATTTCGTACGAGAGAAGAGTGCGCAGAATGCAATAACGTGGAAGTGATTACAACTTCTGTCTGAATAGTGAAGCCTAGTACAGATATAACGAAGGCTAGCTAGGCTGGATTCGCGGGATCGCGAATGGTTGGGTGCAGGTTCGGGGTTAGAAAACCCAAAGACGACGCAAGGGACGTTCGGAGGAAGGGGTCGTCTGACCGAGCCTAGAACTCTGAAAGTTGGAGTTGTACGCATACAAGGTGACCCAGTAAGAAATTAGGAAAATTCCTTACACTACCCCTCCCTTTAAAAAGGGTAGTCAACATCAGGCACGCGGCGGCGGGCGAGGTAGTCCCGTAGAACCGAGTGACCTTGTAGTGAGTCGCTCGTGACCCACGTGTCGTCACCACTTGTGCGATCTGCCCATCGCAGCAGGAAATTGGCGTGTCGTTCTGTCGGCGTCATACGCACGCGGCGATTCTTAAATTTCTAGCGTTGAAGTGTCGGGTTTGCCATAGGCCGAACACTTGGCGCGATGTTGGGACGTGCAACGTTGGTTGACTGTAGTGCGACATAATGCCGCAGGAGGCTGACGTGGAATGCGTCGTGAATTCGCCAGTCGTCTGAAAGCAACAGCTTCTCGAGACAAGTGTCAACATCTTGACGATGATGAAGGGCCCCACGTATCAGGGATGGAGTTTCGCTGGTTGAAGCAGGCGAAGTTTCTTCGTATCCAAAAGGTCCATCAGCCCGGCCTTGAAGGGTAAATCCCTTCGACGTTTATCAGCATTGCGACTGGCGACACTATTCACCTTACGAATAACTTGCAGGCGGGTACTGTACGGTGCCCACGTCTCCTGCCAGAATTTCGACATGAATTTCGGTTCTTGATCGCTAACGATCGCCAAAGGTAACACGTATAGGCGTACGACTTTGGAGATGAGCAGCTTCGTTGTTTCTTCGACTGTGATCGTCGTGCGGCATGGTGAAAAATGCGGCATTTTCGTTAATCGGTCAGCGACGACCAGAACTGAGTCGTTGCCACTTGAGCCAGCTGGCTGGCCTGTGACAAAATCCATCGTTACTTGCTGCCTCGATCGTTCGAGTGGCTCGAGGTGCTGCAGTAATTTGGCTGGACGTTGTTGCGACGACTTATGGCTTGGCATGTCGGGCAGGTTGTCACGTAGCGCTGAACGCCCAACAGTATGGCACGCCAATAACAATTGCGTTCCCGTAGCTTTAGTGTTTGTCGATGCTGAAATAAAAGGAGATGTTAGAGTCGTGAACTTCCTGCATCAGGAACTCTCTTACAGGCCGGTATGACGGGACCTAAATCCTGTTCGTACCGGCTTTTAGGTAATATTTCCCGTGTGGCGTCGTGGCCCGATAGTGTTGATTTCACTTAAAGAAGCGATCGATCCTGTACCCATGGTGAGTTGGAATGTCGAGGGCGCGTTTGTCAGACGGAACGGCATCACTGTATACTCGTAACTGCCGTAGCGTGTGCGAAAAGCAGTCTTCGGGTAGTCGTCGGCGAGCACTCGAATTTGATGGTAGCCACATCGAAGATCGATTTTTGAGAAGAAGCCGATCTCGTACGTGCGCCGACAACGTTCCTGCCGACGTCAGCCGCTACACAGAATCCGAAGTCCGAGATTGACGGAAATGACAACAGTATCTCACGTAATTAATGTGCGACAGCCACAACTGCCCACCATCCGGGGGGAGGGAGGTCACGGACTATCTCGACCATCGAAGGCAAGGATCCGGCGGTGACGAAAGAGCGCCTGTAATTTTCATGGACGCGAGGAGCAACTACCCGTTCTCCTGGCCGACTAGCGCGCAGCTCCCGGACCCCACGCATCCTTCCATGTCTTCCCCCCCCCTCCACAAATGGTATTACACATTAAAAAGCGGGGTGAGCTTGGAAATTAGCTCCGATACCAAGTGTTATGAGTTGTACCAAACATAGTGCGTGGAAGACTTTATAAAGAGACTATGAATACTGAATGAAAATAAATAAATAAAAAAAATAAAAAAAAAAAAAAAAAAAAAAAAAAAAAACGATTGGTCAGAACGTGCGAATACGTCGAGAACCTCATGATGTGCGTGGCTCGTGTTACGATATGAAGTTTTATGAGTAAGGCATTCCTGTATGCTGCAGGAGCCGACTCTACCGAGTACGAAGTCGAGGAGTCAGAAGAGTCGAAGCGACGCAGCAACCGTCTGACCAAAGACCGATGCAGGCAGAAACATTCGAAATGGAAAAGGCGGGAACAGGTTCAAAACGGGTTCCCGCGCCGCACGGTTTGAATCTGCTGTAATAAGGGAATGTACCCCTTAGAGTACATGGCTAGTCTAGGTCTTTTCGTATTCCCTTGTATTCTTATATAAACTCGATGTATGCATGCTATTATCAACTCAGTCATTTACATTCACTCTGACCTGAGATTCAAACTTCCGCTGCAACAACTACTCTGCGATCAACCCTGAGCGATCCTTCGCTAAGTCCCACTTGGGATTGTAACATGGTATGAGAGCTACTCAGGGATTCTTCGCAACTTCACTTCCGTGAAATTCGCCGAACCAAGATCTGGCGAGCGGCACACGCTCCAAGACCAAGATGGCCGGAGGATCCGGAGGCCAAGCAAATCTGACGGCTGAAGGACAATCCAATCCGGCTGCGACAAATGAGGCGACAACTACCATCGGCACTGCCGCCCTCGAGCAACTTTTCGCTCGACTTTCAACTATGGAGAAAGAACTCCAAGATCTGCGCAAAGGCGATGCGGGAACCTCTTCCCAACCAGCTCAACCTGGACAACCGGCTGAGAAAAGCCGTGATACCGCCGCGCACACCTTCTCCCTCGACACAGACAAATCAGCAACAACTGCCCCCCGTCCAAGTGATGAAGCTATCAACTCTGCGCAAGCACGCTTCCTTAGCATTTCAAAAATCAAGACTACTGCCGCGTTCGACGGCAATGACTTCTATACATGGAGTTTCGAGCTTGAGCTCCTCCTACAAACGGCGCAGATCTACCATTACTTTGACGGCTCCTACCCTAAACCGGTGGAAAACACCGAAGTCGCCAGGGCTCAGTACTACAGCGAGTCCCTCATGGCCTACAGTGTGCTGCTACGCAACATGACGCCTGCGGAACAACTCAACATACGCTCCTACAAAGAGAGCGACGCTCCAGCCATGGAAGCTTGGAAGCACCTCGTTGAGGTTTATCAGCCGAAGGACTCGGTCACCGCCAGCAGGCTTCTGCAGCAACTCCTGGAGATAAAAATGGGGCACGGGGAGAAGGCGAATCCATACATTAACCGCTGTCGCAATATTCGTGACCAGATCACGAAGCATGGGAGTACGATCTCAGAAGAGATCTTCGTTAATATAGTCCTTCAAGGACTGGGGCCAGAGTGGAAGCCCTGCAAAGCGCTACTCCGACAGCGAGGAATTATCTCCGAAGCCTCGCTATGCGCCGCACTCCTGTCCGAACAGCAGGACATGGACTCGAGCAGAACAAGCTCCGCGCCGCGCCGAGAGCGCCTCGCCTTCTACACGGACAACCGAGAAGAGCGACGACAACCAAGACGCCATTACTGCAAAATATGCAAAGTCTTCGGACATTCAACGGATCGATGCAAATCCCGATCCAACTTCCGCCACCCAAATTCCACTCACCACAACAATTGGGTCGGCTGACAAGAAGCTCGTCATTCTCAACCTCAGCATCAGCAAGCTCGTCCCCCTGCACAGCATCAACACCACCAAAATCAAGGACCTCAGTCAGGAGCTCCCAGGAACGTCATCGCGAACATGGCGACACGCCGCCGCCGCACTGCTGAACCTGACGAGGAAAACGAAGTCCAAGGAAGACTTCTGGAGCCAGAAGAGGGATGGAAGAATCCTCTCACTGAGGACCACTACTATGACTATGACGAAGACGAGCAAGATTGGAATCAACCAATCACTCTGCGGGAAAGCCCGCCACACAACAATCAGCGCTACGTACAAGTGGGTTGGAAGGAGGACGAAGATCCTACCTTTCACAGGCGCTACAAGGCCACCTTGGTGACTCCGCGATTGGCGCTACTGCTGCGCCGAAACAACACCGACAACTACAATACCTAGTACCTGGACAGCTGCTGCGGATAGCACATGGTGGGATCTACGCGATACGTCTCCAACCTGAGTCGCGCTTCCGCAACCTACGTCACCGTCGCCAACAACGAGCGGTTGCGCGCCAACTCCCAAGGCCTTGTCGTCCTGCAAGCACGAGATAGCAATACGCACATCTCGTTCAACGACGTGCTCTACGTCCCGAACCTCCGCTTCAATCTGCTCTCGGCTGGACAGCTCCGCGATTGTGGCGTCATCATTCACACGGATCTTGCCACGCGCGACCTCATCCTCACCTACGCTCCCCCAGACACACCTCCCGAGTCATTCAAATACCTCGGTCGAGCCCGCTCAATCAACGGGATCTACATCTTGGACTTTGACATACCTCCCTGTCAAGCGTCATTGGACGAGCTCGTGGACCTTGTTCCCCTCGAGTTCGCCTTCATGAACAAGGAGTCGTGGGAGCATCCGGACGGACGACCGTGGGTTCGCCGCAGCCCTCACCCCCGCGAGATCAACTTCCACGAACCGGACGTTAACGGTCTCTGCACGACCTGCCACACGCCCACCGCGAGTCGCACGGAGCAAGTCGAAAGAGAGCAAGCGGCAATTCAAGAAGCAGAAAGCGCCGAGGCGGAACCTACCGGCATGACCAGAGAAGAACTTGCCGTTGCTTCTTACCGCGTCTTCGGTGAAGCAGTAAAAGAATACGAGCTGGAGCGAACGGAAAGGGCAACGCCCTATTCAGATAATCTCCAGTTCGTGCTGGAGGCTAACGCCACGACCAAGGACGAGGAAGGACGAGAGCGCCCATACACCCGCGAAGTTTACCGCCGCCACATCGACCCTGCCTGGAAAGATCCTGACGAACCAGAGGAGCTGAGCGTCAAGGAAGAACAGGAAAAGGCACGGGCAGAAAAAAAACAGAAGCTGTATGAGGAGCGCGTCGCGGCAGGATGGGACGAAGAGTCCGCACGCCGTGGCGCATGGGGAGATGAAGATTACGAACCAGAAGAAGGTGCAACCTGGGCATCCGCAACAGGAACATGGGGAGCTAGCACCAGCGGCGCGGTCACCACGAGAGGATGGGGTTCGGCTGAAACCGACGAAGGGGAGCTCACGCAAGAAGAATTGGACGCAGCCGAACGGGAGATGCAAGCAGAACGCGGAGAGACACCACCTCGCGCTGTCATTCCTCTCGGACGACCCCCGCGCACTCGCGAACCTCAGCGCTCACCTCATCGTTGGAGCGATCCCTGGTCGGAGATTGAGGAGGGGAACGTACCACCAACACCTCCGCGGGACTCACTCGGTCCAATCTCCCGCCCAGATCCGTTTGCGCGCTTCATCGAAGGCACCACAACCCCGCTCACAATCATCCCCGACCACGAATTTCTCGCGCTTTACCTCACAACGGCACCTGCGGAAGGGGAGGCAACGGCAAAAGCAGAAGCAGAGGAGGAGAGCAACGAAGCAGAACCAGGAGAAGAGGAAGAACCTCCTCTCCAGATCCCGGAACTCACGGCAGAGGAGGCAGCAGAGTACCACACCCGCTACAAACGCACCTCCGGCATCCGCGCCGAGGACGATCTCTGGCAACAGCGGATGGGCCACCCCTCGCGCCAGACACTCGCCAACTGCCTCCGCGCAAAGGTTTTTCCGCCAGGAGCACTGCTGCGCCCCGACGGAACGGAACTAGAGAGCACCACGCCACATCCGACCACCTGCACAGTCTGCCCTACAGCTGCACTTTCCCACACTGCCTACCCCTCTCTAGAGCCGAGCACCAACCGCTACAAGAAGCTGGAGAAGGTATACAGTGACTTCATCGTGCTCACCTGCGACGGACTCAACGGCGAAAAATACACACTGACCTTCATCGACGCCTACTCACGCCACGTGTGGATCGCCAACGTTGACGCCCGCTCCAAGGCTCCGGAGGTGTTCCGCATCTTCCTCGCGCACGCGCAGCGACAGTCAGGAAGGAAACTGAAGATCTGGCAGAGTGATGGGGCAAAGGAATTTCGGAGCAATGAACTGGAGAGCGTGCTCACCGAGAAGGGGATTAAGCATGAGATCTCCCTCCCCTATGCTCACCAGCAGCAAGGTGTCGCCGAGAGGGTCAATCGCACGCTCATGACCAAGGTCCGCGCCATCATGAATCAGTCCGGCCTGCCAAAGAAATTTTGGCCCTACGCCATGAACCATGCGGTGCGTCTGCACAACCTCCTCTCCACCACCGCCAACAGGGATAACATGTCCCCTCACATGAAGTGGACCGGCTCAAGGGGAGACCCCTCCATGCTGAGAGTTTGGGGGTGCATGGTGCAATATCGGCCGACCTTGGCAACAATCGGCAAGTTCGTTCATCGTGCGCGCTGGGGAGTTCACTTGGGGCTCAGTCACGAGCACAAAGGCTGGCTCATTCTTGACATGGATAGCAAAGAGATTGTTCCCGCGCGTGACATCCTCTTCTACGAACGACTCACCCTGAAGCAGTGGATCGAGGACGAGCGCCGAAACCAGGCACGCGGCTACGTCAACAGCGGCCGCAGCTTCGCAACTCCAGAAGACGAAGCAGCAGCAGCCGTACTGGACCGCGACGACACCGACGAACATCCCAGCATCCCGCCTCGCCCGCGCGACGACGACGACGATGACAGCGACGATGACCCCACGCCAGGACCATCACGGCGCCAAGCAGAACCAAGCACCGCAGCACCCGGCTATGAGAGCGGAGACGACGACGTGGTGGAAGTCCCCACCAACGCAGACACCACCAATGTGTCAGGCCTTCAACTTCTCGGCCTGCACACATCCGTCTCTACCCTTGCACGGGCTGTGGAGCCCAAGAATCCTCGCCAGGCCCTAACCGGTCCTCACGCCAAGGAATGGCGTGCTGCGATGGATGCGGAACTAAAGGCGCTGGAATCGCGTGACACCTGGGTCCTAGTCGATCGTGCAGCAGTGAAGGGGAGGAGGGTGCTCAGTGGAAAATGGGTTTTTCGTCTGAAAACTAACGCTGACGGCACTATCGAGCGCTTCAAGGCACGCTGGGTCGTACGCGGGTACGATCAGCGTCGCATCGACTTCGATCAAACCTTCGCCCCCGTCAGTCGCCACACCTCAGTTCGGATCCTACTCGCCATTGCCGCCGCGAAGCACCTGCCACTGCGATAGATCGACGTAAAGAACGCGTTTTTATACGCGTTGGTGGATGCTACTATCTTCGTGGAGCAACCGCACACCTACGGGGAAGGTGATCCCAGGGTCTGTCAACTGAAGAAGTCCCTCTACGGGATCAAGCAGGCGCCTCGCCTCTGGCAGCAGCACCTGCACAAAATTCTCCTCGAAATCGGCTTCAAGCAGCTCCCACACGACCCGGGAATGTATCGCCTTCACTTCAGCGGCGACTACATCCTCCTGACAGTCTACGTCGACGACCTGCTGTACACGGGCACCTGCAACAAACTTCTGGATCAGTTCCAGGAAAATCTGGCGCAGCGCGTAGACATCACCACCAACCCTGATGTGAAGCAGTTCTTGGGGTTAAACATCACTTACGCGCCAGAAGCAATTCATCTGTCAGCCTCCAAGTACGCAGAGCAGCTGAAGGAACGCTTCAACATCTCTCCCGCACCACTCTCAACTCCTTACCGCAGCCCCAGCACCAACCACAAACCGGACAACAAACCACTGTCACCCGCAGGACTCCAACTGTACCAGCAGCAACTGGGTTGCCTGCTGTTCGCCTCTGTCACCTGCCGACCCGACCTCTCGTACATCGCTAGCCAACTGGCGCAGTATTCTCGCAAGCCAGTAGCTGAGAACCAGCTGGACCTGGAACGCGCCCTGCAGTACTTCATCTCCACACCTGACATTGGGCTCTCCTATTCCACGCTGACGACGACCTCCATCAACCTCAACGGTTACGTGGACGCAGATCATGCAGCTGATCCTGCAAATCGACGGTCCCGAACCGGCTTCGTCTTTCGCCTGGAACCAACTGGGCCAATCTCCTGGAACTCACAGAAGCCGGAGCTGGTTGCCCTGTCATCGGCCGAAGCAGAATACATCGCCGCGACAGCAGCAGTTCGCGAAGGCCTGTACCTGCAAGAGCTGCTACAGGAGGCGAAAATCCCAACCTCGCCTACCTTTCGCCTTCACTGCGACAACCAGAGTGCCATCAGGATCGCGAACAAGCCCGGTTTCGTGAACCGTATGAAGCACATCGCGCTTCGGTACTTTTTCGTCAAGGACGAAATCGACCAAGGCAAAGTTGACCTCGCCTACTGCCCGACTACCGAGATGGCAGCAGACTTCCTCACCAAACGTCTGCCACGTCAGCAGTACAAACAGTGCTCTGACCTCACCAGAGTAGTCAAGCGAGTCAGCTCCATCCGCGCCCAGGAATGAAGGGGAGTGTTACGATATGAAGTTTTATGAGTAAGGCATTCCTGTATGCTGCAGGAGCCGACTCTACCGAGTACGAAGTCGAGGAGTCAGAAGAGTCGAAGCGACGCAGCAACCGTCTGACCAAAGACCGATGCAGGCAGAAACATTCGAAATGGAAAAGGCGGGAACAGGTTCAAAACGGGTTCCCGCGCCGCACGGTTTGAATCTGCTGTAATAAGGGAATGTACCCCTTAGAGTACATGGCTAGTCTAGGTCTTTTCGTATTCCCTTGTATTCTTATATAAACTCGATGTATGCATGCTATTATCAACTCAGTCATTTACATTCACTCTGACCTGAGATTCAAACTTCCGCTGCAACAACTACTCTGCGATCAACCCTGAGCGATCCTTCGCTAAGTCCCACTTGGGATTGTAACAGCTCGGAAGTGTCGCAATTGGTGCGGGGCGACCCGGAATGTGGTTCGGGCCGAAGTGTAGGCCGAACCCAAACCGATGCGAAGTGTTGGGGCTGTCCTCGCTACGAGCAGCCTCTAGAGTAATGAATTCTAATTCATTACACCGTAAGTAACAATAGTACACGTATTTTCTCATCCCTCCCCATTGTCACCCAGGCGTGCCCTACACGTAGTGTCGGCTTAGGATTGTGGTGCACGGGATATTTCTGCGGGGCTCGTGACATACATATAATTGCCGAATCGTGGATTTCAAGGTTCATTGCTGGGATATGACTGCGGGTTGCGGGGACATGGGTGCGCGCGACACTGTGTTTGGGGGGACATGAGCACTCGTTGCCTGGACATGACTGCGCCGCTGCTGGGCTTCTGCGGCATGACTGAGCACCCACGACGCCACTCGTCGTAGGGCCGCACGCGCTGACCCTTTAGCTTCGACCGCGTCTCAGAGCTTCGAGCTTCGTGAAACCTAATAGGCGTGCGGATATCGAGCTGAACCCACTCCACCCCGTGGTACGAGGAGTAACTACTACCATTTCTCGCTGCATCTCAAGCCTAGTTCTGAGTAAAGATTTCAACTCGTAGAATTCAGCGCATTCTCTATCAGCAGCTCCTGGTAGTTCTCGCACTGTCTCACACCGTGCGAGAGCCCGAGTCTCAACCCAAAAAAAAAAAAAAACCCAATTCTCAACATTCAGCGCATTCCGTATCAGCAGTAGCGCGCACTGCCCTCAAGCCTCCGCAGGGCTGCGAGCGGCGTACAGTCCCTCGGCCCGCCCATTAGTTCCGCTTAAAGCCGCAGGTCGGGCCGTTTAAGACGGCAGCATCTGACCGCGGCCGGTACCTTAACATCATATCCTCGTTAGGTGGCTTTTGTGCGGACTCTAGAGACAGCTTTTTATCGTCATAGCCGCGGCTCCGCTGTCACTGGTTGCGCGCACAAGTTTAAAGGTGGGCGGAACTTAAGTTAGGCGACGCGACGCAGCAGCCTTGGACCGGCGCGTACCACAGTCAGTCGCAGTCTCGATCATTTACGCTCAGTCTCAGTCTCAGTCTACGTCTCACTCTTTACGGTCTCACGTCTCAGTCTATCGCTCTCTCATTCTCATTCCCAGTGTCAGTGTCGGTGCCAGTCTCTAAGTCTTGTCTCAGCCTCACTCTTCACTCTGTCTCAATATCCGTCTCTCTCACTCTCACTCACCTTCTTAGTCTCACTCTCACTCCCACTTTCACTTGGACCACTCTCTCACTCTCATTCACTCTCTCTCACTCACTCCCGCTTGCTCTTAGTCTTACTCGCACTCTGTCTCACCCTCACTCGCACTCACTCTCTCCAAGTCTCACCCTCACTCCCTCTCCCTCTCTTGGTCACAGCATCAATTACCTGGCAAGCACCATGGTCGCTCCAAAGGGGAACTGCTTGCGAGATATGGTTGTAATTTCTAGGAAACATCTTGCAAAGAGGACGCGTTCGCACTCCCAATCCAACTTCCAATCGCCATCCCCTGCGACGGCGGCGGCTAAGGCGGCGGCGGCGGCAGTGACAACAGTGGCGATGGCACATGGGCGGAGGGCGCAGCGCTCGCTGACGGCCCTCGCATGGCTCGCAAGGTGGCTCGCCATGCCTTTTGAGTTGACTCAGAAGTCACCTCGCCTCACAGGGCGCCTTGCACGCCTTGCATGGCTCGCAGGATGGCTCGCCGCCGGCCTGCTCGCGCCGCTTGTGAAGGCCAACGTTGTTCCGCTCGAACCCACTCAAGGTGAGCTGGGCAGGCCGGGTGACTGTTGGGCGAGAATAGTTCGCTTCAGGTTTCATTCCATGTCTGTCTGTACGTGCAACTCATCGCCATCATCCATTCCACGTCAGTACGACGGCCGAGAATAGTTTGTCTCACGTTCGCAGGTATTTTATTCCATGTCTGTCTGTCTGTACGCGCATCTCATCGCCATCATTCATTCCCTCCATGTCAGTACGACGGTTGCCATTTTTGCCCCACGTCATCTTCCTCGGACTGCCAACCACCGCCACACGTAGTGCGCTGCGCTTCGCTGCACTTCCCCTGCAACTACTATATACCGTTAACTTTTGTCGCTTCAAATGAATCGACTCTAATGAACTTTGTCGCCCCCATCCACCTCCCCACACGGTGTGCTGTGCTCCCTCCCTCCTCTTCCTGCAGGGCACCGTTTTAGCGACTCCCACACGGCGTGGAGCTCCCCACCTCCCCACTCCGTGTGCTCCCAGACGGCGTGGCGTGGAGCTCGCATGTCCCCACCCGGGCTGGCGGTTGCCCACCCAGACGTGACTACATTCCCCCAACCCGCCTCTGCCACCCCCCCCTCCCGAAGCAATCCAATCCAATCCACCCAGTCCCTCAACCTCAACCCCCGCAACTCGCGCCCTTCCGACTTCCCCAACACGCAGTGCAATTCCTGAACGACTCGCAGGCGGCGTGGAGGTACGTGAAGTTCCCGGGCTTGGAGGACCCCAAACCCGACTGCGTCCCGCTTGCTGCGCTCGACATCACTTGCAACGCGCACGGCATGATTGATCACCTGTGAGCTGCGTGGATGGGATGGGACATGGGTGGATTGGACATGGGTGGATTGGACATGGGTGGATGGGACATGGGTGGATGGGACATGGGTGGATGGGACATGGGTGGATGGGACATGGGTGGATGGGACATGGGTGCTTGGGACATGGGTGGTTGGGACATGGGTGATTGGGACATGGGTGGATGGGACATGGGTGGATGGGACATGGGTGCTTGGGACATGGGTGCTTGGGACATGGGTGCTTGGGACATGGGTGCTTGGGACATGGGTGCTTGGGACATGGGTGGATGGGACATGGGTGCTTGGGACATGGGTGGATGGGACATGGGTGGATGGGACATGGGTGCTTGGGACATGGGTGCTTGGGACATGGGTGCTTGGGACATGGGTGCTTGGGACATGGGTGCTTGGGACATGGGTTCTTGGGGCATTGTGGCTGGGGGAGTTGGATGGTTGGGAGATGGGAGGCTGGGACATGGGTTGTTGGGATATATATGCCCATCGCATGTCACATTATCTTAGAACTCAATTGTGCAGTGCTCGTCCTGGTAGTGATATGTAGAAGCTATATTCTTGAAACACATGCATACCGTAATCAAAGTGATCCACACTAGAATTCCACGACAAGATAAGCAGTGGGAAACATGCAGTAAATCATAATGAGGCTCGGGAATGGCCGATGGGGGCTGCGTTGAATCTTGAGTTTAGCGGGCTTTGAGGTGCTCTCCGTAAAGTCGGTATGCAAATTTTCAACATAGTACAGTTTGATTGAGTTGAGTCGAGAGTATACAAGATTCGTGCCCATTAGTCTAGGGAAGGAGGTATGCTGCTGGCATGGGCAATGGTAAACACCACTGCCGGCAGCATAGGGTCGTCCTTGTGTGAAGATTAGGACAGCTTAGATAGCTAGCATGGGGTTAGACATGAGAAAATGACTCGAGTAAACTCGTTAGTGTAAAAAAAGAAATTCCAGATTTACCGACATTTGTGAAGAATGTTTTCAACTTGCGAGTAGAAACTCAAGTCAGCCCAGCGTTAACAAGCTACAGCTGCAGTTTATTCATAGCTGATGTGACTGGGATTCATAACTACCCACTTGACTATGTGGTCATGCTGATGTGTGGTCATGCTGATGTGTGGTCATGCTGATGTGTGGTCATGCTGATGTGTGGTCATGCTGATGTGTGGTCATGCTGATGTGTGGTTATGCTGATGTGTGGTTATGCTGATGTGTGGTCATGCTGATGTGTGGTCATGCTGATGTGTGGTCATGCTGATGTGTGGTCATGCTGATGTGTGGTCATGCTGATGTGTGGTTATGCTGATGTGTGGTCATGCTGATGTGTGGTCATGCTGATGTGTGGTCATGCTGATGTGTGGTCATGCTGATGTGTGGTCATGCTGATGTGTGGTTATGCTGATGTGTGGTTATGCTGATGTGTGGTCATGCTGATGTGTGGTCATGCTGATGTGTGGTCATGCTGATGTGTGGTCATGCTGATGTGTGGTCATGCTGATGTGTGGTCATGCTGATGTGTGGTCATGCTGATGTGTGGTCATGCTGATGTGTGGTCATGCTGATGTGTGGTCATGCTGATGTGTGGTCATGCTGATGTGTGGTCATGCTGATGTGTGGTTATACTGATGTGTGGTCATGCTGATGTGTGGTCATGCTGATGTGTGGTCATGCTGATGTGTGGTCATGCTGATGTGTGGTCATGCTGATGTGTGGTCATGCTGATGTGTGGTCATGCTGATGTGTGGTCATGCTGATGTGTGGTTATGCTGATGTGTGGTTATGCTGATGTGTGGTTATGCTGATGTGTGGTTATGCTGATGTGTGGTCATGCTGATGTGTGGTCATGCTGATGTGTGGTTATGCTGATGTGTGGTCATGCTGATGTGTGGTCATGCTGATGTGTGGTCATGCTGATGTGTGGTCATGCTGATGTGTGGTGATGCTGATGTGTGGTTATGCTGATGTGTGGTTATGCTGATGTGTGGTTATGCTGATGTGTGGTTATGCTGATGTGTGGTTATGCTGATGTGTGGTTATGCTGATGTGTGGTTATGCTGATGTGTGGTTATGCTGATGTGTGGTCATGCTGATGTGTGGTTATGCTGATGTGTGGTCATGCTGATGTGCTGATGTGTGGTCATGCTGATGTGTGGTCATGCTGATGTGTGGTTATGCTGATGTGTGGTTATGCTGATGTGTGGTTATGCTGATGTGTGGTTATGCTGATGTGTGGTCATGCTGATGTGTGGTTATGCTGATGTGTGGTCATGCTGATGTGTGGTCATGCTGATGTGTGGTTATGCTGATGTGTGGTTATGCTGATGTGTGGTCATGCTGATGTGTGGTTATGCTGATGTGTGGTTATGCTGATGTGTGGTTATGCTGATGTGTGGTTATGCTGATGTGTGGTTATGCTGATGTGTGGTTATGCTGATGTGTGGTTATGCTGATGTGTGGTCATGCTGATGTGTGGTTATGCTGATGTGTGGTTATGCTGATGTGTGGTTGTGCTGATGTGTGGTTATGCTGATGTGTGGTTATGCTGATGTGTGGTTATGCTGATGTGTGGTTATGCTGATGTGTGGTTATGCTGATGTGTGGTCATGCTGATGTGTGGTCATGCTGATGTGTGGTTATGCTGATGTGTGGTTATGCTGATGTGTGGTCATGCTGATGTGTGGTCATGCTGATGTGTGGTTATGCTGATGTGTGGTCATGCTGATGTGTGGTCATGCTGATGTGTGGTTATGCTGATGTGTGGTTATGCTGATGTGTGGTTATGCTGATGTGTGGTTATGCTGATGTGTGGTCATGCTGATGTGTGGTCATGCTGATGTGTGGTCATGTTGATGTGTGGTTATGCTGATGTGTGGTTATGCTGATGTGTGGTCATGCTGATGTGTGGTTATGCTGATGTGTGGTTATGCTGATATTTGGTTATGCTGATGTGTGGTTATGCTGATGTGTGGTTATGCTGATGTGTGGTCATGCTGATGTGTGGTTATGCTGATGTGTGGTTATGCTGATGTGTGGTCATGCTGATGTGTGGTCATGCTGATGTGTGGTTATGCTGATGTGTGGTTATGCTGATGTGTGGTTATGCTGATGTGTGGTTATGCTGATGTGTGGTTATGCTGATGTGTGGTTATGCTGATGTGTGGTTATGCTGATGTGTGGTTATGCTGATGTGTGGTTATGCTGATGTGTGGTTATGCTGATGTGTGGTCATGCTGATGTGTGGTCATGCTGATGTGTGGTTATGCTGATGTGTGGTTATGCTGATGTGTGGTTATGCTGATGTGTGGTTATGCTGATGTGTGGTTATGCTGATGTGTGGTCATGCTGATGTGTGGTCATGCTGATGTGTGGTCATGCTGATGTGTGGTTATGCTGATGTGTGGTTTATGCTGATGTGTGGTTATGCTGATGTGTGGTTATGCTGATGTGTGGTTATGCTGATGTGTGGTTATGCTGATGTGTGGTTATGCTGATGTGTGGTTATGCTGATGTGTGGTTATGCTGATGTGTGGTTATGCTGATGTGTGGTTATGCTGATGTGTGGTTATGCTGATGTGTGGTTATGCTGATGTGTGGTTATGCTGATGTGTGGTTATGCTGATGTGTGGTTATGCTGATGTGTGGTTATGCTGATGTGTGGTTATGCTGATGTGTGGTTATGCTGATGTGTGGTTATGCTGATGTGTGGTTATGCTGATGTGTGGTTATGCTGATGTGTGGTTATGCTGATGTGTGGTTATGCTGATGTGTGGTTATGCTGATGTGTGGTTATGCTGATGCGTGGTCATGCTGATGTGTGGTCATGCTGATGTGTGGTTATGCTGATGTGTGGTTATGCTGATGTGTGGTTATGCTGATGTGTGGTTATGCTGATGTGTGGTTATGCTGATGTGTGGTTATGCTGATGTGTGGTTATGCTGATGCGTGGTCATGCTGATGTGTGGTCATGCTGATGTGTGGTTATGCTGATGTGTGGTTATGCTGATGTGTGGTTATGCTGATGTGTGGTTATGCTGATGTGTGGTTATGCTGATGTGTGGTTATGCTGATGTGTGGTTATGCTGATGTGTGGTTATGCTGATGTGTGGTTATGCTGATGTGTGGTCATGCTGATGTGTGGTCATGCTGATGTGTGGTCATGCTGATGTGTGGTTATGCTGATGTGTGGTTATGCTGATGTGTGGTTATGCTGATGTGTGGTTATGCTGATGTGTGGTTATGCTGATGTGTGGTTATGCTGATGTGTGGTTATGCTGATGTGTGGTTATGCTGATGTGTGGTTATGCTGATGTGTGGTTATGCTGATGTGTGGTTATGCTGATGTGTGGTTATGCTGATGTGTGGTTATGCTGATGTGTGGTCATGCTGATGTGTGGTTATGCTGATGTGTGGTTATGCTGATGTGTGGTTATGCTGATGTGTGGTTATGCTGATGTGTGGTTATGCTGATGTGTGGTTATGCTGATGTGTGGTTATGCTGATGTGGGGTTATGCTGATGTGTGGTTATGCTGATGTGTGGTTATGCTGATGTGTGGTTATGCTGATGTGTGGTCATGCTGATGTGTGGTCATGCTGATGCGTGGTCATGCTGATGTGTGGTCATGCTGATGTGTGGTTATGCTGATGTGTGGTTATGCTGATGTGTGGTTATGCTGATGTGTGGTTATGCTGATGTGTGGTTATGCTGATGTGTGGTCATGCTGATGTGTGGTCATGCTGATGCGTGGTCATGCTGATGTGTGGTCATGCTGATGTGTGGTTATGCTGATGTGTGGTTATGCTGATGTGTGGTCATGCTGATGTGTGGTTATGCTGATGTGAGGTTATGCTGATGTGTGGTTATGCTGATGTGTGGTTATGCTGATGTGTGGTCATGCTGATGTGTGGTTATGCTGATGTGTGGTCATGCTGATGTGTGGTCATGCTGATGTGTGGTTATGCTGATGTGTGGTTATGCTGAT